AATGATAGCTCAGTGCAGCCTTGTAAGTTTTTTTGTTTTGAGTCGGCATCTTACTCTGTCGCCCAGGCTAGAGTGCAGTGGCATGCTCATCATGGCCACCACAGCCTTGATCTGCTGGACTCAGGCAATTCTTCCGCTTCAGCCTTCCAAGTAGCTGGAACCACAAGCATGTACCACCACGACCGGCTTGCTTGCTTGCTTATTTATTTATTTATTTATTTTAGAGGCGAGGCTCACCACCTGGGCTCAGACAATCCTCTCATATCCGCCTTCCAAAGTGCTGGGATTACGGTATGAGTTACAGTGCCTTGTGCAAGTCTTTGTTTAGAGGAAATCTTGCCCAGACCGCAATAAATGAAAGAGTGGGGCTGCTCTGGTTTCTAAGACATTGCTTCTTACCTGAGGACAGTTTTGCCCCAGGGACACATGGCAATGTGGAGAGACAGATTATCCAGTCTCAGATGGCAATAGTGCGGACGTTGCAACATCCTGCTTTAAAGGAGCAGGGCCTCAGTGCACTTGGTCACTGCTTATTCCCTGTTCACTCACAGTCCACAGTTATTGTTCCATAGTGGGTGCTCAACAAATATTTATTGAATGAAAGCTGAGGTAGGGGGATGGGGTCCAGGACCTAGCCTGCTTGACACCCAAAGAAGATACTACTAAGCCCTAGGCTGCTTTCTGTGGAGGGTGGCTCTGTACTTTCAAAGCTGTTGTGTCTGCCACTCCTTGTGGCCCTCATGATGCTCCCGCAGTGTGCAGGGTAGACAGCTTGGCAGACACATGACGGAGCTGGGACCAGGCAGAACCTAGTTTCCTGTCACCGTACCGCACTGATGGCTGGGAGCCACCTTTGTGTTGGATGATGAAGGAAAGCTTTTGGACTCATCCTAGCATGGCTCAGGTGAAAAACTCTCCCTGTGGCTTAGCTATATGCTCCTCACCTCCATCTATGTTTCTGTGTTGGTGTTTCACCAACTCTTGTTGTGTAGTTAGGATTACGGGCTGAATGGAAACCTATACTTAGCTCGGCGATGGCCAGTTATGTCTACACTGGCCATAGTGTAAGCATGATTCCATACTTCTTCGGTGGCACTAAGTGAAGTCCAGAGAAATCATTCCTACTGCACTATGAACTTGTTTCCTACTGACAGCAAGTATATTACAAGTCATTTGTTAGTAAAGAGTTGTTTTAAACGGTTTCCTTGTTTATAGCAATTAAATCAATTCAAGATTCTCCTGACAACAAAGGTCCTGTTACTCATTTGTATGAATATGAGCAGTTCAGCACAACAGGAAAGACTTCCAGGCAGGGAGGTGGCAGTTAATGTCTGCAGCAGTTTTGTGAGGAGTACTGTCTGGGGGCCTGCTCTAGTTCTTGGAGATGTAAAGATGTCAGGCACAATCCTGGTCTTCACAGACCTTGTAGTTTAGTTTGCAAGACATGGTCTACACTTTATTATTTTTTTTTAGAGACAGAGCTTCACTTTGTCACCCAGGGTGGAGTGCAGTGGTGTGATCATAGCTCTCTGTAGCCTCGAACTCCTAGGCTCAAACAATCTTCCTGTCTCAGTTTCCCAAGTAGCTAGGACTACAGATGTAAGCCACCATACCTGGCTAATCTTTTTTCTTCTAGTAGAGATGGGATCTCACTATGTTGCCCAGGCTGGTTTCAAACTTCTGGGCTGAAGTGATCCTCTTACCCTAGCCTCCCAAAGTGCTGGGATTACAGGCCACTGGGCCTGGTTGTGATCTGTGCTTTAAAGGATAAACAGAAAAAAAAAAAGATAAACAGCAACAGATGTCGCAGTACACACAGCAAATACTGTGGAATCCCAAAGACAGCAGAAGAAGTCAGTGGAGATTTCTTGGAAAAGAGGGTTTTGAGGTGGACCTGGACCACAAATCATATTTCTGGGCCTAAATATGGGAGACTTCTGAGAGTAAGAATGGTTCACAGAGCTGTCTGTGCTCTGGAGTTTCTCCCATGAACGTTCAGGGCTGAGGCCTGTTATAAAACCAGGGTGCCAAAAAAATGTATACACATTTTAAGTGATGCTATCTATGTATTACTTTTCGAAGTTGCATTGAATTATGGTAGCAATGTGCAATTGCAGAAGTCAAATGTCAAATGTGACTTGTATGCATCTTTTGTTATTGGTATATATTGAGTATTATAATTTTATTTAGTTTTTGAAAGCAGGATTTATTGAGAGGATAGAAAAGCTCCCAGAGCAATAGAATGGGTTGCCTGAGTATTACAATTTTAATACAGTTTTTTCCTTTCTTCAAATGTGTATCACTTTTTTGGCACCCTCTGTATGGTCTGAAAAAGAGACTCAGCCTGTGGCAAGGACCAACTCTGTTTACCAGCATTCAGGAGTTAAATAAGGGTTAGACCACAGAAGGACTTGAATTCCAAGTTTTAAAAGATGAGTATCCTTTAAGCAGGAGTAAACTAAGAGACCAACAGTGTTTTGTTTGTTTGAGTCGGGGTCTCAGTTGCCCAGACTGGAGTGCAGTGGCACGATCACAGCTCACCGGAGTCTCAACTCCTGGGATCAGGAAATCCTTCCCCCTCAGCCTCCTGAGTAGCTGGGACTACCAACATGCATCACCACGCCTCATTAATTTTGTTATTTTTGTAGAGATGAGGTCTTGCTATGTTGCCTAGGCTGGTCTCAAACTCCTGAGCTCAAGCAATCCTCCTGCCTTGGCCTCCCAAAATGCTGAGATTACAGGTGTGAGCCAGTTTCTAGCTGAGATCAATAGTTCTTATGCACTGAACTAGGGAAGAAGAGAGAGTATTTGATTGGTGGTGGGAAACCACCACTATGGGAAACGGGATGCCAGGGGGTACTTCTGGCTGACCTTGATGACCAGCTCTGTCTACATATCTAGTATTAACATATGGAGGCTCAGCCGGGCTCGGTGGCTCAGCCTCTAATCCCGCACCTTTCGGAGGCTGAGGTGAGTGGATTGCCTGAGCCCGCAGGTTTGAGACCCACCTAGGCAAAGTGGTGAGACCTCATCTCTACAATAAATCAAAAATCAGCCAGGCGTGGTAGTGTGCGCCTGTAATTCTGGCTACGCGGAAGGCTGAGGTGGAAGGATCGCCGGAGCCCAGTGGTTCGAGGCTGTGGTGGCCGGGAGCGGCCACTGCACTCCAGTCTGGGCGACAGAGTGAGACTTCAACTCAAAAAAAAAAAACTAAACTAAAATATGGAGGCTCGAGAAGTTCTGACTGTGTGGGCTGGGGCAGGAAGCCCATGCTACCCTACTGCTTTTATGTTCAGATCCCCTAGGAAGGGGAAACAGGGGAGTGTGGGCTTACAAGCTGCTAGTGACCATTTTTTCTGGCCAGGAAAAGGAATAAATCCAACATGCAGAACAAAATGGAGAAGAGTCCTGGTAGGGTTGGGGACCTTGAGGTCTACCTGCATCTTGGCCTTTATGTGATTGAGGGTGAGCCAGTTGAATGCCCCTTTTTGCCTGTGTGCACTAAATTTCAATTGCTTTTCTGTTATCAGAAAACAAAAACAGTCTGATTAACATAGCAATGAAAATCCGCTTGTAGCTGGGCTCTGTGGCTCAGCCTGTCATCCCAGCACTTTGGGAGGCCGAGGTGAGTTGATTACCTAAGCCCGCGGGTTCGAGACCCACCCAGGCAATTTAGTGAGACCTCGTCTCTACAATAAGCCAAAAATTAGCCGGGCATGGTAGCATGCACCTATAGTTCTGGCTACTTGGAAGGTTGAGGCGCAAGGATCGCCTGAGCCCAGCAGGTCAAGGCTGTGGTGGCTGGGAGCATGCCACTGCACTCCAGCCTGGGTGATAGAGTGAGACTCCAACTCAAAAAAAAAGAAAACCTGCTCTTAATAAATAATAAATCAACTTAACTTATCAATAAATCAATTTACCCAGTGAATTCATCATTGATAAAAGTTTCTCTGCCAGCAGAATTCATCTTTTAATGAGAATTAATCAAAACTTAAATCAAATGAGTAGGGCTTTAAATGGTGGAATTTTAGGTATTAACCCATGAAGGATTATTATTATATATTTTCTGAGAGGTAGACAGTAAGCTTCCTTGGCAGTTTTAAAATTGACCATGGAGCCGGGCTCGGTGGCTCAGCCTGTAATCCTGTGCCTTTGGGAGGCTGAGGTG